TATATATATATATATATATATACACAAAAATTTTTACTTTTCATGCTCTAAAGAAAAAGTTACATGATCGCTATCTTGAACACGATCAATTTTAACAATATTAATTAATTTGTGAGATAATTTAAGCTTCCTTGCTTTTTCTGCCAAATTTGTTTATATCGTTAAATGCAAAAATGTATCGAATGAGCATATACAATATCAGAGTTATCTAACTGTATCATAAGTTCGGATTCTCATCTGGGGGATTTCTCCGGGTGTCAACAAATGTTAAACAAGGATGATATGACACCCGGAGAGCACCCAGATGGAAATCGGAACATGCCTCTAAATAATTACCTTTTATTTATTACAGAATTCATCAATCACACTCATTATTTATTACAGAATTCATCAACCACACTCGATTATTCCAAAAAAGAACAAGACTAATCATTAGTCATAATGACTATTTTAAAGACTCTAATCGCTGGAGGACAAATATGCCTCAAAAAATTTTATACTACAAGTCCAAAACTTATTGAAATTACACAAGACAATAATACAGGTAATACTGCTATTTCCATCGATGCTTAATATACAGTTTCTTCTTTCAAACTTTATTTTATTGACTAGGTATCCAAATTATATCTATGGCAAGAAAACCTGTTAACAGCTTGAATACAGAGTTGTTAAGTGAACTAAAGACATTTTTATTGGAGGCCCAAAATAGTCGTATTAAAGGCGTTATATTAACGTCGTCCTTACCAACTGTATTCTCAGCAGGATTGGATATTATGGAATTGTTTAATGATAAAGAGAAACTTACTAATTTCTGGCAAACATTACAAGACACTTGGCTGACTGTTTACAGTTTGACTATACCGATTGCTGCTGCTATCAATGTATAGTCTTTCAAGTATTACTACTTTACTAGCATATCTCTGCAACATTTAATACAACATTCCTTTCTACAAAGGGCTTTAGTCCTGCCGGAGGCTGCCTGTTTGCAATGTCTACGGAATATAGAGTCTTTGTTGAAGGCAAGCATACTATAGGTTTAAACGAAACACAATTGGGTATGATTGCTCCAAAATGGTTCAAGGATGTATATGTCTCGTTAATTGGCTATCGACAAGCTGAGCTGGCACTTTTAAGGTAAATGTAAAACATTGAATAAATACGTATATATAAATATATAATAAACTTAAAAAATGAGAGATACACGACGAGATTTTACATGATATAATTGTTATATTTTAGAGGAGCGATGTTTAAGCCTGAGAAGGCATTGCAGCTTGGACTCGTGGATGAGCTCGCTAAAGATAAAATGGATGCGATCGAAAAGTGCAAAAATTACATATTATCTTATAATAATGTATCAGGTAAAAATATTGGACTGTAGCATTTTGTTTAGTAGGCATTGATACATTATGCAAGCATACAAAACAAAATTTAAATTTATTTGATCCGGAGATTAATGATATTCTTAGGTATTTTGACGCTCTGAAATCGAATTCGATGCTGAAATGTTTCCATCACGTCACAATTTGTTTTATCGACTGAAAATAACTCAATCTTTCATTTATTTTTATTAGAGCCATTTATGGCTTGATTTTTAATATGCAAGCGATAAGTTGAAAATACTGAAAATCGAGTTATTTTTGTAATATGATAGAACAATTTGGATATCGAATTCGGTTTTAGAACATTAACATATTACATAAAAATATTATGGTTTAATTTTCTCCGGATCAAAAATTTTTTTTGTCTGCGTATTAACCATATATTGTTATTAAAATAAAGGTTTGGCAAGGACCATCACCAAGGTAGATTTGCGAAACGATTTGATCGAGTGGTTGAAAAAAAATAAGAAAGCTGATACTGATAACTTCATAAACTATATACAATCACCGAAAATACAAAATGGCCTTAAACTTTATATTGAATATTTGAAGAAGAAGCAATAATAGGTATCTTGATATAAGACAATATTTGTTACATTCTTACTAATCAAAGCAAATAATTTTGTAAACTTTTATATTATATCTTAGAATATATATTTTCATATCATGTGTTAACAAATGTGAAAGTGTCACACATTTATTATTACCCATATTTTATTATATTATAGTATAGTCAGAAGAAATAAAATACATCATATTAATTATTAATTCTCCAATATATATTAGGTTGAGGAAAAAGTCCTTTTACATAATTATAGTATAATTGAAATATATTTTTTAAATTGTTTACAAATCTGTTATTAAACCAAATATATGCCGTTTGATCTTTGCTATTTTTCGGGTAGAAAATTCTATCAGTATATAGAACTTCTGTGGTAAAAAATCGAGCTAACTTCTAAAAAGTTTTCCCCAAAACTTTTTCCCCAAACCAATATATACACAGCCGCTCACAGAAGTCGGACCTGCATAAATTTTATTGAACGATCATGTAAAAAATTAGAATAGTCTTTTATATATTTTAGAATACTTGTGTACATACTGACACCAATTCCAAAAGTTTTTAGAAATATAAAATTCTGATATATAAAATAAAAAATGTTTAATATCCTAAATTATTTTTAATTTTATATATCAGGATATTAAATATTTTTTTATTTTATATATCAGAATTTTCAGAAACCTTAAAATGAAAGATGATATATTAAAATATATTAGTCGCCACGGCCATACTGAATCGTGATATAAGAAAAACGATATGTTAATTTTTGTTACATACTTATATTTTGTTACATATTTATAAATAAAGACAATGAATAAAACGAAATGATGAGACCGAATGAGACGAAGCTATTCTTATCCTTCCTGACAGTTAATAAAATTGTAAAATATGGTGAAAGACACATGAAGTATGTTTACTCAATGCACATGTGTAGCCTATTTTAATTTTCATATGCCTTTTACGACTATTTATTGACTGTCAGAGAGGAGGATAGCTTTAATCCATTTTTACAAATGTTAAAAATCTTATCATTTCATTTTATCCAAATTGCGTCTTTATTTACAAACGGCATAAAAAAATTAACGTGTCATTTTTCGCTTAAAACGTCACAATTTAGTATGGCTGCGGCGACTACTCAGGAATCTTAATTAAGTTTCGTTATTATATGCAAAGTGTTTTAGGTATCCAGAACTCATATAAAAAAGGGTCATTTTTTAAATAATCTTTAGAAATTTAAGAGAATAATTTGAAAACAAAAAAGACAGTATTAGAACCTGCAAAAATATGCTCGTAGAAGCACAAAAATCACGCAATTTTGTTAGATAGAAGAAACTCGCACGAGGGGTAATCATTAATCATTTGTATATTTGCAGGTAAATTTCTCGTTAATACAGATCTTACTTGCAATAAAAAAATCCGCCACTACAGGCAAAACTCTTTATTCAAGTAATTAAGTGTACAATTATGAGTGCACTTATTGTTTTGATCTTTTTTTCTTGTTTGCATCTCTACTATGAAAGTACTTATACATATACTATCGACACAAAATTTTTTATTCGCTATAAGCATCGTGAACATACATAGCGTAATTCTTCTTTCTTTCTATCTTGCTTACAAAATATCTACGCGCCCCGTACTGTCTCATAAGATTGACGTGTCACTATATTATATATAACTCTCCCGTTCATGCAATCGCCATAACGATTTCATGCTCATCCTCTCATGAAAATGTCGCGCGCCATTTATTCAATTTAAGACAATCATAAGAAAATTTTAATTTTACATAATATTATCTCGTCGGACTTAGTATTAGCATACGCACATATCGGTTTCACCCAACTTTTACTCATTACTCTTATATTTTTTATTTCCTATTAGAGATGTGCGAACAATTCAAATACGAATCAAATTGAATCGAATCAAGATTCGATTCAGACTTAAATCTTTATGATTCATAAATCTAAAATTGGCAAACAGACAGACAGGCAGACACACGCTCACAAAAGCTCTTAATAATTGATTTATGATTTTTCACCTAATTGTTTCAGTATGACATTAACAATGAATAAAGTAAGATTTTATCAGTTTTAATATTTAATATATTAAATATATGTACTTAATGAATTTATATGATTTAATCAATATTTTTTTCTTATAACATTCAAAAATTTTTTCTTTTGCTATCTATATATTAAAATTCAACTTAATAATAATTACGTTATTAACTAACCGTCCGTCTGCAATCTCTGTTATTTTTACTCTGTTTTAGGTTTTTCAAAAAATGTGAAAAAATTCTGGACTACTGTTTATCTCTATTACATTACCATAAATAGATTCTTAATGAGACATTTTAGGGGGAGGAACCGCAGACTCTGTCCTTTTTTTGAAAAAATTTGAAACTGAAATTTTGTTTGTCAAAAAAATCCAGATTGCAGACAGAAGATTAGAAGTTATGTTCTAATTCGATTCGATTCAGTTGAAATCTTGATTCGGATTTGGAATTAAAGAAATTCGATTTGATTCAATTCGACGTAAAAAAACTTTGATTCGCACATCTCTATTCCCTACTTAAAGTGTAACTTTTATATCTCTCGTGTGTATCACGCGCGTTGATGACACACCAGTTGATTTGAAATGAGATAGTAAGAAAATCTATACATAGTAAAGAGTCTCTACGGAATTACGGAGAATCAATGGAAGCGATCTTACTTATAATTAGGGTGTTCAAAAATCAAATAATCGTCGAACTCCAAAAATCTCGCTGCGAAAGAAAAATATACAAATAAAGACCCTACTTTAAAGTGACCCTACACGATCAATAATACTGATTAATATTGAATCAGTAATACTGACGATATGCATATTTTATCAATATTTTAGTACTTTTACAACCTTATACGATCAGTATTATTGACAATATATTTCACTTTACGTGCAATATCTATTAATACTGTGACATACTGCGACACAGATTCTAATAAAGCGATACTGATGCTCGAGAATCAGATTACCGTCAGTATTCTATCCATCAATATTAAACACATAGGATCAATAACACTGTCAGTAGGATCACCTTTAAAAACCCATAAAGTACATGAAAATGAGAAAACGTGAAAATAAATTGACTGTCCTTCTCGCGTGGAAATGTACCCGAACTATAATTGCGTAGACATAAGCTAAGTTATGAGAGTAGCAAATGTTGTACTATCTACAATCGAGTAAAGACGTAACTATAAAGTTATAACAACCAATTAGAATGCAATTTCGACAACAGCAGTAAATTATTTACTATGATGAATAGTACTTTTGCTATTGTTACTGCCATTATATTATGAAATCGAATTTATAAATTTACTTATTACATATCTATTTAAAATTAACATAATGACGCGGACTCGTAATAGCACTTTGATTGAATCACTTTTTACGTAATCGTAATCTTGAAAAATAAGTTGAACTATCTTTCATAACGCGCTTTATAATTGGTAATAGCAAGTTAAAACTACGTTTTACAACGTTTCACAATCACTTACGTCTACATTTACACAATTGTAGGTAGGGCTTAAAATACAATACGATTTGTCGCTAACATTAAAATATCACGGGCAGTTTCCTTATCTAAATCGAAGACAAAAATTCTTGCAAACTAAATAATATCTTAATAGATAAACTATAATTATTTTCTCGTGAATGAAGGCAACCTCAAGTCTGTAATTAGATGGTAAAATTTCATTCGGCGTTTACTTATAAATCAACTGCATCTTACAGAATTATAACATTCCGGAGTTAGATATCTAATATTATATAAAAGCTATCAATAACTACAATAACACAATTCGTTTCCGATAAACATCAAACTTTTGCTTTTACATGACTGTCATGTAAAAGCAAAAGTTTGATTTTTATCACTTGTACAAATCCTGTAAATCAGGCAAAAAGAATGCGAGATGAAATTAATTACAATGAAGAGAACACAAGATCAAATTCGAGAGATTTTTTTCGTTAAATACGCTCAAGATCAACCATAGATTTAATTCCCTCATATTTTAACAAATCGAATCACAGTCTATATTATCAAAATGAAATAAATAATTGTTTTCACTTTCAGTTGATTTGCGAAAATACGCTCCTTGGTACCACACTGGATATCGTGGAATGAATGATGAGAGGAAGTTGCTTCGTATAAAAATTAATTATCTAATCACTCGGTCGATTATAATACGTGCCTATATATGAATGTACAGAATGGAATCATCCTAAAGTATACTATACAATTTCAAGTTAGCGACGATCTTGTATATTTAATTCTTTAAAACTTCCATCGGAAAGCGCATGAAGTTGTTGTATCTTCGTTATAAGATATACTATAGAAAAATAATAATGAAGACTGGAGGCTACGTAGAAGAAATACTCGAAATCTCGAAAAGGCAGTTCACAACGTGCGTGATATAATATGAGAAGTCCTTGAGATATTATCGTACATGAAATTCCGAGTACGTAAATGCAATCGCGATCGTGCTATTTATAAAGACGAAAAAGATAATATTGATGAATGTTGAGTGAAACTTGATCATTGATCGATGATTTCGAATCAGTCGATATCTACATTGATTTAAATGGAGTTTTGATGAACGTAAATTCGCGTATAAAAATGTTCCAAAGCATATATGGGAATTATGTATAACAAGAGCTTTACAATAAGTGAAAGAATCATGAAAAATATCGGTATTTCTGTTTATGCTCAAACTGGAAAACTACATTTGTAAGAGCATAATATATACTTTTTGTGCGGACACGCGTTTCAGGTTTGCATTTGAAATCGTGCGCAGTTGTACTATATAAAACGGTATTTCCATGGTACATTCTAATGTCTTTGCAATGACAAAATAATTTCAGTTCTGCACAACATAAATTATATATTATCTATACAACAAGTCTGTTTTTCATTTTAAAAAAGGTGTACATTTATCTTTCGGCATACATCTACTTATTTCGAAAGAAATATTATTCAACCTAAAAATTGATTTAAAAAAAGACCTTACAACTTACAACTTTATATGGAAAAATGATACAACAGATTTGTTCGTTTTATTCGCATTTTCTATATACTTGTATTTCGTTAGCTTGATCAGAAGATTAAGGGGATTTTAAATTGATGAAATTTACCAGTTATAAATTAAACATTTCTGAGAATTGATTGTACAGATTGCAAATCTTTTTACATAATTAAAATATGTATGTACACTAAAAAAATGCGGTCGCTCTCACAAAACAATTGAAAAAAAAAAGAGTAAAGTATTACATTTAGTAGCTCATATATTTATAACTTAATGTAATCCAGAAAATAATCCAAAGTCCAAAATTCGGGGGATATAAACCGTCTTAAAGACATTTGTACAAGAACTATCCAAAGATATCTAAAAGATGTCTCATAAAACATTTTATATCGAAATTTATATCGAAATTGGACTTCGTGTTATTTATCCCAATAAAGGCAAATTTTAGAAATAACAATGACATTGCATGACATCATGAATTGACAAAAATTCGCAATAATTGCGCTAATTAAGATGATATAGCCATAACACAGCTGATTTGTAAGAATAAAATTTCTAAATAATATTTGCCAAAAATTAAACAAACTCGCAAGGAATACTAGAAAACTCGAAAATTTTGAAGCATTGTGCGAATAGAGTAATTTATCCGTAACACGAAACTATTTTTTATTCATGTAGAATTACAGTATTAGGGAATAAAATATTCCTTTGAAAAAAATCAGTTTTTTTCTTTTAAAATGAATATTGTCGAAATTATAAAAGATAAGAAAAAAATGTTTTTTTATACTTTTATCAATTGTTGTACAGAGTAAATTATTTACATACTGATAACCTGTTGATTCTTAAAGGCATTTACAATTTTACTACAATGTAGAAGTTAAATTGAAATAATTTTTTATGCCTTTATTCTTTGTTTATATATTACATTTTGTTATATATTATTTTTTAAGTATTTCAAATATTTTATATTTTTCATAAGAAATATGAGCATTTCTTTCTATCTTCTATATAAATATCAAATCTTTATAGCATACTTGTAAAGGTTTATATAAAAAATTCTCTTTTCATTTAAAAAAAAAAAAAAAAAATCATTTTCCAATTTCGATGCAATTTCTGAATAAAATTGAGCTCATCCGGTTTTGCTGAATAAAATCTGACTTTACGAGATAAGATCTCCGATTATCCGACGAAACATTATCCGTTTGCAATAAATTTTATGAAAGATTTTATTACAGAATTTTATAAATGTTTGTTTTTCTATTGGGAAACGTTTGCTTATAAAATCGTATTCATAGTCGCAATTCAACTTGAGATTCGATTTAAGTTTAAATCAGTCTTATTTGCAAAAGGCTTCTCCACAATTGAATAAATCCGATTATTCGAAACTTTGGTTCAAACTTAGTTTGCCTGAAATATATCCACCAATCATGGATTTACGATTATGAATACGAATTTTAATATAAAAATTCTATAGCTTTTGTATACAAAAGAAGATTGTTCCACTTTTCGGATTTCATGAACAAACGAACATCACTGAATTCAAGGAACTAAGATAATTAGGGTACCTATCATATAAACTTTTTCTCTGGAGTGGAAACATGAAAAATGAAAATTTTTATGTATGTATATACATATTAGAGATGCAACAAATATCCGGTAATTGTCCGATATCTGGCTAATCCAATCGATTTTTTATAATTCGACCTGTTTGGCTGTATAGTTCGGCCGAATTGTGAAAAAGTAATTTTCCATAATTTGGATATAGAAATCATCATACATAAATTTTAATTTCAAAATATTTTATTATATGTATATTTGATCAATCTATAAGTTACATATTCTTTTATTAATGTTAAATATCAATTAACATATATAATGTAATATAATTTTTAAAAAAATAAAAGAAATTATAAGTTCTGACGATAATAAATCAATAAATCAATAAAATTGTAAATATCTATAAGAGCCAATATAGGATATCAGTGTAAAAATAATTTTAAAGTGTAATAATTTATTCTATATAACTTATAAAAGTAAACGTTTCGATTCATGATTCCGATTCTCTTCAGTATTTTTTAATTAAAACTGAAGAGGATGTGGATCCATTGAAACATATACTTTTATCAATAGTTGTATAGAAAAAATTTATATTCTATGTTGGTTCAAAGAGGTTTAAAATAATTTTTATGTCTTTATTCTTTGTGTTCTATATTTTTGTTACATATTATATTTTAAATATTATAATATTTCAAATTTTTCGTAAAAAATATGAGCATTTCTGAATTATCAGGCAATAATCTACTTCTATCTTTTGCGTAAATAAATATTAAATCTTTGTAGCATACTTATAATGTTTTAAATACAAAAAAATTTCTCTTTTTATTGTAAAAAACAATTAGATTTTCAATTTTTCAATCTCTTTGTACAATTTCCGGATAAAATCTGATTATGCAGGTTATTCGATTTTGTCGGATAAAATACGGTCATCTGGCTTTACCAAATAAAAATATGCGATTATCCAACAATCATTATCCGTTGCATCCCTAATACATATACGCATATAAATACAATTTTTAAGTCATATTTAATATTTTAATTATATTTCAAGAATGTTATCAATTCATAGATTTGCGTTATGATTAACGTATTCAGAAAATTCTCTGCCAATTTATACTATGAAGAAAATACAACATTTCGAGAGATAAACATTATCATTATCTAAATTAAAAAATTTAATTATATTATTTTTCTACGCTCTTCAATTAGCGGCGGCTCGGCATTTTATTTATTTATTGATTAAGTTTTTGGAGTTATGTGTTATGCTGTGAATGGCTGTTAATTTGAATTTAATTTTTTTTTCCACATTTTCGTCCTAGAGAAAAAGCTACATGATTAATTCCTATATTTGTTCCTGCATTAGAATTCTTTCTCACTTTCACTAGATATCGAATATATATCTATCTTACTTTTCAAAAGTGTACGTTAGTTCAGTTATAGAAAACAGACTTAGATGAAAACCTATAGAAACCCCTAAAAAAATTTTTACTAGCTGTAATTTACGTATATATGCATTTGACATTGATATAGTAATAATGATAATGTTGATTTTGTAAATCATATATATATAGTCATATGTATAAATTGTATGTGTGTGAATTGCATTTTATCATTATAAAATTCACTAACTTAGTATCCCAAACTCCGACGGGATCGCTGTTTTATCGATTCAATAAGACTTATGTATACGTGTCATCAACATATCATTACTTACTAAGTCTATTCCATACAATTGCGTAAATGTAATTGTAAGTGTAGTTATAGTTGTGAGAATTGACTAATCATGGTCGAACATTCGGCTGTGATTGCTGAATTTTTACACTCACTTACAACTATGCTTAGGCATACAATTAGAATAGGATTTACATCAATATCTCACGAACACATATACATAATTTTTCGTAGAACATATCATACAGAATTAAGTCTAAGGATCATAATACATAAGAAAACGTAAGCAGTAAAACATAAACAGTAAGAAAATCAACATGTAGAATTTGCTACTGTTTACGTTTATAGATTTATGGTCTCTATCGTAATTGACCAATTCGCTTACTACTTACGTTTTATTATGTAAGTGCCAGACTCCTAATTCCAAGAATTCGACTTTGTTTCTTCCTGTAATATATTAGTTTGTAGCCTCCAATTCCGTAAGTACAAATTATAGAGTTTGTATATCAAGCAAATGTTGTCACGATAATTTTAGATGTCATATTAGAACTAATTGTAAGTGACGATTTTAATTTCAAAAATTGTTATTCTCGGTATAAATTCCACGCTATAGATCATTAATGCAATACTTCAATTCTGAAAAAAGATTTCCAAATCTGTAAAAGTAATATATGTGATATATCATTTTACAAAAATCACGTTATATCAGTAAAACAGACGACTTTAGGATCCCCTTAACAGTATAAAATTAAAAAAAAGGTGAAAAAAAAGGTATGCCATAAAATGCACACTCATAAAAAAATTATTGCTTCAATCTTTTATGATTCTGTATCAAGTTAGACATAATGCATTGCGGTGACCTATTGTACAATTCTTAGCATTCAAAACTGTATGCGATTGTAATCAGCGCGCGAACTATATTTTTAGACCTCCATAAAATCTTCAAAATAATCAAAATTTTTTGACACAAGTTAGACCTGTCAATTAGATGAGATTAAGAACGAAATACATGTATTTGATCCTTGCTCATTTGTAAAAAATAATTTGAACAGCACAAAGTTAATACATATTTTATTACATTGTATAAATTAACTCAAAGTATGAAAAAATGTCGATCAAATTTCGGAGATTAAATACTTCAATACAAAGATGTAACTACAAACAATAATAGAATATAAGTGTAAACAAAACGAAGAAATCGAATATACTCTAAAATTGGAATATCAAAAAAATATACATGATTTGTACTTTTTGTTGGTATTCTGGGAGATATTGAGCAGAGCACATTCCTTTATTATACAATATTCCCCTGTGAATTCGATCGCTTCAAGTTTTGAATTTGCCTGCATGTACTTCGTTATCACATAAACACGAGTCACTATCCTACATACCAGCGAAGATTTCGGGATATTCACTAAAATTTAATAGCGACATTTCTTCATCAGCATCTTTTCTTTTTTCTTTACATACTATAAGCAAGTATAAAATATAAAAAATTATAATATATATATATATATATAAAAATTAAACTTTTGATTTTAACAGAACATATTTAGTAGATCAATATATCTTTATAAAATATAGTGTAAAAATACCGCGAGAAGATAAATTTTGATCATGTAAAATCGTAGAAAATGTAACAAAATAAAAAATAGGCCAATACATATTTTCCTTTGCTCTTGCACG